CGCGCACGGCGGTGACAAAAAAAGTCGTCGTCGTAACAGTAATTCTAGTAAGCAGTACTGTTAAAGTACCAGAACTTGTTGCAGCAACAGAGATTAAATCATACGCGGCCGTCGGGTCACGCGGCGCACGGGCCGCGAGCTGCGAGGCCGCGGAATCACATCACCACAGGGGAATTCAGCTATCATGAATAGACAGGGCTGCATGTCTACCATCAGATCACAACAAACCGAAACCCCCAGCATACAAGCACTGAGATAAGATGGACTTCTCACCTCAGACTGCGAAAGACCAAAAGCACGTTAGCTCTTGAAACATCCGCAAAATCCTCAACGACAGGGCCGGGACACATAGAACCTACCGCAGACCAGATTGTCAAATGTAAGAAGTCTGCAGCGGACCAGGCAGGGACACCACAAACCTTCAGCAGATCAGACTTTCAAGGCAGTATTCCAACAACTAATGAAAATCCCGCACTTTCGGCCTAATCAAAATCCTTCACTTTCGACTTTCCGGCCCAAGGAGGGTAACATTATTGCTATATTGCTAAAAATAAGTAGGATTCATATCATTGCTATTATTCTTATTTCAATATTCTTAGTAAATAGATTTGTATATTCTAGTACATCGTAGACTTGTTGGCAATCTCATCAGCTGCAGCCCCTGAACGAAAATGACCACCCTTGGTCCTGAAAGGGATGAAAAAAGATCACTTAGGACAACGGGCAGAAGAATATGTGGCTTAAACAGACGCCAATATGGGTTGATACTGTTGGGACCCTAACCCCTAAACGAAATTGGTAGTTTCCCAAAATAATGGGACCCCAATGTAGACCCCGAAATACTATAGTCCTTATTATAGGGACCCCCAAAAGGTACCCCTAATTTGGGAAACTCCCAATTCCCGTGGTGGCCCCAGCCTGATCCCACTCATCCAGGCTCGGTCGCTTGGGCAATGGCCTGGGTCGTACCTGGAGATGCGGCGGATAGCAAAACATCCTGCATAGCCCTAAGTATTTCGCATACCTTGAGAATGATGGTAGTAAAGTACAGCACGACTTCGGATTGCTTCATCCAGATCCACAGGGCCCAAATGCTCCAGAATGATGGGAAGCCAGCAAAACCGGACATATCTAGCATAGCGTGCTCTCTTGCAGTTCAAGAGAACGGTACTGTTGCAGTTGTGGTGAAACTTTCAGGGTTGGTACTATACTTTTATGGCTCTGAGTGTCTCTTTAGCAGCTTCAAATCATTGTACTAAGGAAACGATATGATTACATTCTCACCTTTTTTGGAAACTTGGTTTCAGTGTTTAACATCAACCCAGTATCTATGGGTTCCCTTACTCACCCCCTGCACTACCCCAAAAACTTCCCCGTTAATCAGGCTTACTTAAGGATAACTAAGCCTATTTCAGATTCTTCAAATGGAGGCTCGGGGATAGCATAGGGGGAATCCATGATTAACAGCAACCAAGATACTCTTACCCTCGACCCTAGACCCCAAACCCTGAAACCCTTAACCCTTTTGGCTCGTACACCTGCTCCAAATTATCACTCTGTCCTGGCCATTGCCAGAACTCTTGGCCTACCTTCCGAGGGATGTTCTCAACATCTGGGGCCCAAAATAGCGCTAGGGTTTAGGGCTCAGGGATGTTTAAGGATGAGAAGAGCATGGAGGAAAGTCCCCTATCACCGTCCAACACTAATCCATGAGACTGAGCTGAATCACAATACTCGTCAAGCTTACACACTCATCTGTTAGATACTGCCCCCACCCCACACCCTGAATCACAATACTCGTCAAGCTTACGCACTCATCTGTTGGATACTGCCCCCACTACCCCACACCCTAAACACCAAATCTTAAACAACCCTAAACCCTAAATGGGCAGTAAGCAACTCATCTGCAAAGTCACTGCCGAACTGAGCCCTACACGCGAATATCGCCTTGGCTTTCCTTGACCTCGTGATCCCGCACGACTTAGTGCCTAGGGTTTCTGGTTTAAGGCTTTAGGGTTTGGGGTTCGCGGTTTTTCAGAAGAACATTTTGTTTTATCAAGAAGCTGGGGCACCGTAGAGGCCCGCAGTACTACCAAATCGATTTGAAGTCTACTTAAGGAACCCCATATCTGAAGTGCACAGGGCATCCGACCATTGCATCTGAGCCACAATGTTACGTTGGGAATCCCAAGCAGAAGGTGTTGCGTGCATGTTTGTTATGATACTGCGAAATCATATCGGCAACAACTCAGGCTTCTACTTTACAGTCCCCGCAAACCGCTACAACCACTAATCTCAAGCTCATCTTCCAATACATTTTCCGTTTGATCATCAACCATAGGAACATGTATATACATATGCACACACCGTCACACACCCTTTTTCATCCAGAAGTAGGACTACCATTACAGTTACCATCATGCTTATCAGCTTTCAGATGCCCTACACCCTAAACTCCAAACCCTGAAACCCTAGATTTTGAAGGCTTCGCCTTGATGCGCCAGCGCAAAATGATGGCAGTGTCAACAACAAGAACGGCAAATCACTGAATTGGCAGAACAAAGTTTTTAAGTAAATGCGGGGCAGGGCCATTCAGTTGAAGCCAGAGTTGCTTCGGTTTTTTCAACGCAATCTGGCCTTTTTGTTGCAACTTTCTCATTCCACGCACACCGCAATACCTCCCGAATCCTCACTCGTGGGATTTCGAGGCCTCACTCATGGGGTTTTGAGGACCAGGGTTGGTAAAGTGTGGAGCCTAAAAGCGTGTAATTGCGTCTTGCTTTCGTTTCAGTTTCTTGGGGGATCTACGTCAGCTGAAAACCAGGGTTTGTAAAGTGTGGCGCGAAAAATCGTTTAATTGCGTCTTACTTTCGTTTCAATTTCTTGGGGCGTCTATCTCAGCTGAAAATTAGGGTTTGTAAAGTGAAAAGCCGGAAAGGGATTAATT